AAACTATATTCCAGTTACAGGGAGCTGGCACATTATATTGAAAAGAGCAGCAAACCAAGTATGCACGTGTATGAAGCTGGTTTCAAAAATCTGCTTACGTAAGTTCCTGCAGTGCTGATTTTGATCGCTGAAGATCAGGCAGATAGTGGGAAATCAATCCTTCAGTTAGCTGCTCCACAGCTTTCTCATCTATTAAAGGCAGATCTTCTACGACTCCTTCATCTGGAGACGCATCACTGGGACCTACAGCCAAGAACAGCAAGGCTGAATATAGTGTGACAGGTCAGCACACACTTCAAGTTTCACCTGGAGGAACTATATGTTCCTTTTCAAAAAATGAAATGCATTAAAACACAGTAAAATTCTCTGCACTTTTTCAACTTTTGTCTTTCTCCTCTTCTTTTTGCCTCCCTTATTCTCCTGTATCACAAGCTTCCTAGTAAACCCTTTTATGTGAACTGCAGCAGAATAGAAAGAAGGAAATATAACTGTTCCATATATATCTTAAAAAAAAAAAAAAAAAAGATTGAGTACTCCAGTCTACTGAAGAAAAAAAAGGGCAACATCAGTGCTCTAACTATGCATCAAGAGTACCTAAACATTAACAGCCCCCAGCCTTTGCTTTCAAAGTCTGAGAACAAGCTAGGCTAGGAAAGGTCTTCGCCTGACACTCAAAACAGAGTGTTCAAGAGTTCACGCTGAACTCCAAGAACTGAACTTCACAGCCTGTAAGTTTCGTATGGGCACGCTACGATTATTTTTTGTCTGCTCGTGGAAGATAAAACCTTTTACCCAACAAGCCCCCGCACGGGAGAGAGCGATGCGGGAGAGGCAGCCCCTGGCCCCCGCGGGAGCCCGCCCGTAACACCGGCTGTGGCGGAGCCTCCCGGGGGACGCCTTGCTCTGACCGGGCCCGGCGAGGACTCCAGCCTCTCCTCAACTCTCCCCGCACCCGCGTCCCGCCCGGCCCGGGCTCCCCTCACGTACCCAGCGAGCGCCCGGGGTCACCCGTGGCCGCCGCCTCCTTCCCCTCCGGCCGCTCCGCGCCGCTCATCGCTGCCGCTCCCGGCGCGCTCCGGCAGGGCAGAGCAGGGCACGGCAGGGCAGGGCCGCCCGAGCCCGTGCCGCGCTCCGGGCCTGGGCCGCGCGCCGGGCGCGGAAGTGACGCGCGAGTGACGATGGGGACGTTGGGTGACGAGCCTGGCAGCGGGGCCGCGCCTGAGAGCGGGGCCGCGCCCGGCACAGCCGCCCGAGCCCGTGGCAGGCGGGTCCGGCTGCCCTCACCGAGCGGGCCGGCCCGGCGCCCCCCGGCCCGCGCTCCGCCGCCGCCGCACCATAGAGCCGCCGCCGCCGCGCTCCGGGCCTGGGCCGCGCGCCGGGCGCGGAAGTGACGCGCGAGTGACGATGGGGACGTTGGGTGACGAGCCTGGCAGCGGGGCCGCGCCTGAGAGCGGGGCCGCGCCTGGCAGCGGGGCCGCGCCCGGCACAGGGACCGTGCCTGGCAGCGGGGTCGCGCCTGAGAGCGGGGCCGCGCCCGGCACAGGGACCGTGCCTGGCAGCGGGGCCGCGCCTGAGAGCGGGGCCGCGGCCGCCCGCTGGGGCCGTGCCAGTGGCCGTGCCAGGCGCTCCTTCCCGCCGCTCCCCTCCGCTCCCCGGGGGTGCCTGACTCGCCCGGAGCCGTCGGAAGCCCCCTGGTCTTTTCAGGAAATGCAGGTGCAACTATACAATAACTAATGAAGGACCACTCAGAAAGGTTTTTTTAAATGCAGTATTTTAATGTATCCCCAGACCTTAAAGATTAAATTCAATTCAGGCAGTTCTTCAGAAATACATCAAGGCAAAAAAAAGGGAGCTTTTGAGGTGATCCGTCAACCTTAAAACTAACATTTCTAACAGCAAGATTGTTGCAAATTCATTTGCATTTTTCTTCATATGCATATTCTAATTAACTTTTGTTCACAATTATGTCACTATTCCATCATCAGATTAAAGACTTACCCATTTTTCTGCTTTTTTAAAGGAGGAATAAGAGGAAATAATTAACTCGAGCAGACTCAAATCCTTAATTCCAACTGGTTAGCAATTTTACTTAAAAGTTTCTTTTGGTAGGGGAGAAAACCCACAACTTTTGTTGAAAGTTTCACTGGGAAAGACTTTGCAGTTTCCAGATGGAATTTCTAGTAAGAACAAGTGAGATAATGACTCTGAAATAGTCTCACTTGAGATGTGGGAGTTTCAGATTTGTGCTCAGCTTTGCCTGTTCCAGGCCTTCCCACGTCTTGCAGAAATAGACTAAGGATTGGAATAGAAAACGGGTATCTGGTTTTCTAGACAAATTAAAATTTAACCATTTGTCAACCCAAATGTTCCAAAAAAGAGAATGATAGAAAAATTTCGTGTTCTTTTTCTTCTGCAAAATGTCCTCTATTTCACAGTAATTATTTCCCAAGTGCTTATGTTTGTAATACTGTTAACACCACATAATTGTGTTTCATTTTATGTTGTAGCAACTGTGTTCAGAAACCTGTAATGGACACTCTCACATAGGCATTTTGGATTTTATTGTTTCCAACTGATTTAAGCAGTCACATCTATTGTAATGGTGCCCCACCCTAGAAACGTGAGTGAAAATGGAGTTAAGTTAGCTTGAATTGTATAGCAAATAGGATGTTTTAAACCATCAGCGCTGGAGGTGCCATGTGACTTCAGGGATGATAACATGAAAAGGAAATACTTCACATTAATAGGTAACCTCTTAGAGACTCTCTGTCCTCATTAAGTAAACGAGACTGTAGAAAGAGCAGAGCCTTGGCTGTTACGATGAAGAAATTGAGTGTATCTGGTACAGACAGTTCTGTTCACCAGCGGCTCATCTTTCCAATGTATGAGCTGGTTCTTGACTTGACAACACGTCTGCTCTTAGTTGTTCAGTAAAAGGTGAGCTGGCAAACCTTGGTGCACTGGTTTAGTGTGTTAGTCCCCCCAGCTAAAAACCTTCCTGAGTGCTGGAAGTTTCTGTTCCTGTAGGAGTGGCAAAGCTCCAGCTAAAGCCGAACATTTAAAGACAGTTTTAAATGCCGTTCTTTTGGTGCCTCCTGGAACCTGGCTGCTCATGTCTCTGTGTCCTTCACTCACTTTGTGCTGGTACAAGTGGTGAAACTCTTGAAACACAGAGTGAGTTAAATCACGCAGAGAGAACAGAAACATCGAAAATGGGTGAACTGGAACCCAGCTGGGAGCACTTTCCTAGGCAGCAAGGCTGGCTTAACTGGTTCCCATCCTTGGCTGCTTATTCTGACTCCCACACTGTTCGCTGCCCCCTCGTTGTCATATGGATGTCTCTGCGAGTTGAGATCATGCAAGCAGTCTCAGTTACACACACAAATATATCCAAAACCCTCCCGATACGCATTGTTTAATTCTGACCCATTTCAGGGACTCAGTTTGTTGTCTGGCCCCTGAACAATTGTGCTGGTAACAATGCTGGGGGAATCATGAGGTAAAAGGGCAGGAGATGGCACCACTTTAGCCACTTGAAGAAAAATAACCTGAGATTCACACTCAGGAAAACAGCCACATTGTAAAATGGCAAGGGAGCTCAGATAAAGTGTCATACTGTCTATTTTTGGACATCATTAAGAGAACAACAATAAGCAACCTCCACCCAAGGCCAGTTTACCACAGAGGACTCCCTTCCCACAGCGCCAGTTCCAAGAAGGGGCTCACTCCCTGTCCTGCAGCATTGCCCTGATGCCCTACGAGAATCTGCGATCAACCTTTGACCAGAAAAAGAATGCCCTTCTCCAAAATCCTGCACTTCTATACAACTCTCCAGTCTCCCCTTGGCAACTTCCTTCAACCCAGTAACAAAGCAAGATATGTACCTTCTCTCTGACAGGCATGATTTCCCAGAAATATTTATGGCTTAGTAAACTGACTGAATACAGTAACAGGAATTTGGCCATAGGTACAAACCGATGCAGAACACGTGTAGGCTGAAATTCAGAAGAATTTCAAGTACTCAGACCATAAGGAGCAGGAATGACTTCTCAGAAAAATTAATAAAGGCAAAAATCTATTGCTCTTGTGTTAGAGCACAGCTATGAAAGGAATTATACAACAGCAGGGTCCCTGAGGTTTGTTTCTCCTCACATCCTTTAAGGAATTTCAGAAAGGCATATGAAAATTCGTACAACTCTACCTTAACAGAGTTACTGAAACAGTGTAAAGAGCTGAGCCGTGACAGAAGAGAAAGAGAAAAGCAATACAATGCAAACTTCTGCCGTTCAAAATCTGAAGCCAGAGCACGGAACTATGCAGTTCAGCCTTCCAGCGTACTGAACACAGCTTCGTGTCTATCACGGACCACCACACCTGCACTGTATGGCTTTGGCAGTTCTCAGCCTCTGCCTCGCATGGCATTTACCCACTGAACACAAAGGCACGGAGGGACGGGAGCAGCCCCTCAGGCCACCCCGAGGGACACGCGGGTGCCGCCGCCGCACCGGCCGGGCCCGTCCGCCCCCGAGCCCCGCAGGCGGTCCCCTCGCTCCGCGGGCAGCGCGGGCGCGGCGAGGCGGCGGCAGCGGGGCGGGGGACGCGACTCCCACCAACTGCTGCCGCCGCCGCACGCGGGACGGCCCCGGGAGCGCGCAGGGATTGCGAGGGCGGCGCGCTGCCGGCCCGCGGCGGTGCGCGGAGCGGAGGGATGTGACGCGCATGGCGGCGGCGGCGGCGCTCCCCCACCGGGGCTCCGGCGGTGACAGCGCCTCGCGGCGCGGTGCCCGGCGCGGAGGCGGCGCTGTGGGCCGGCGGTGCCGGGGCGCTCCGCGGCGGAGCCCCGCGCTTCTTTCTGTCCGACCTGCGCGGGGCCCGGGGGCGGCGATGTAGGGGACATGCCCTGACGGGACGACGAGCGGTCGGGGCGCCGCCTGCGAGGGCACAGCTGCGCCAGCGGAGCCGCCCGCGGCGGGTCGGCCGCGCCCGGCGAGGCCCCCGAGCGCCGCCGCTATGGCTGGGGCCGGGCTCTGGACGAGCATCAAGTCCCTGCTCGGGAGGAGAGAGGACCCTCTGTTCCTGAACGACTCCAGTGCCTTTGACTTCTCGGACGAGGTGGGGGATGAGGACTTCCCCAGGTTTAACAAGCTGCGCGTGGTGGTGGCGGACGACGGCTCGGAGGCGGCCCCGGAGACGCCGGTGAACGGGGCGTCCCCGGGGCTACCGTCCGACGACGAGTCCCTGCTGGACCGGGACATCGCCCTGCGCAGCGCCCGGGCCGGCCGGCCGGACCCCTGCAGCGGCTGCAGCAGCCGGCGGGAGCGCTCCAAGCAGAGGAAGGTGAAGAAGCGCCTGACGCTCGCTGCCCTGCTCTACCTCCTCTTCATGACGGGGGAGCTCATAGGTGAGTCGGGGGCCTTCTGTGCCGTCCCTCCGGCACGGTGTCTCGCAGCTTGATAGGCTGCTGTGGCCTTGGCTTTGAACCATCAGTCCTTTAGAGAGACCAGAGGGATGAGCTGCATGTGTAGAGGGTGAGAGGGAATAAAGTCCACCTGTATTTTCCTTGAAAGAATTTGCAACTTTCCTTACCTGAATCTCTCATCAATTCCCCGAAATGGCATAAAATATACAAATTTTTTTTTGTCTAATGGATTTTTATTTATTCTTGGTAAGTTTTTAAGTTGTTTTTAACAAAGGAGAAGTGGCATGAACAATTTCAATAGCGGTATTTTTTAATCAACGGCCATAAAATCTTGCTGTGTTTGAAACAAGAGAAGAAGAGGAAAATACAGTTTTAAATGCGACATTTACCATAATAATGAAAGTAATACAGGGGTATTTGTCCTTTTTCACCAGATACAGCAATACACAATATTACTGAGAACTAAAAAGACAAGTCCTGAGCTGTCAACGGCAATCCAGTGGAGACATCACTCCCTTGAGAACTTGTTGATGTCCTGCTGTGCTCTGGGCTAGCATGTGCTTCATCCAGACATAAATCATATGAGCACAGTCATTTAAAGTGACAGTTATTTTGACACTTCTTGCTACAACATATAAGAATACCAAGTAGTTGCATTAAATTATTTGTGGGTTTTGTTAGTACTTACAGAACTATAGTGGGGTTTTACCTGAAAATGAGTTCCCGTATGAACACCTGATTGTTTGTCATAAGAATGAACCTATTGCTCAAGTTCAGCTTTTATTGCTCCCTCCTAACGGCTGTGCTGTGCACGATGAGGAGAACCTGTGCATTATACAGCAACATTATACAACTGTGCTTTATCAAATAGGCTACAGCAGCATGGACTTGAAATAAAATGTGAGTGTCCTTGAGATGCATAGATGAGCTGTTAAATATTATGCCTTTGCCATCGTGTAATCATTTTTACAAAGTTCAGTATTTATCTGTTAATCTCTATTCACTTACTATGTCCTGTTGCTATCTGTATTTTGGATACAGCCATGCCATGCAGTGCAAGTGTCTGTTGGGTGTGACTCAGCCTCCTGAAAAATGCTTTAATGTTTTCATCCACTGTCCCCTGATTTGGAGTTGTGGGGAGCACTGCACAGTGCCAGCACATTGATACGTATGTTGAGCCAGGTCTCTCCATAGCAATTAATTGCTTTTAAATTTCTTAAATTTCAACATTCAAGTCTGAATCAGAGCTAATCAGATTAATTATCTGCCATAATTCAAACACACACAAAAAATTAAATCATAAAAACTTTCTGGAAGAACAGCAGCATGGGATCTACATCCTCCTCCTCACTTCTGCAAATTGAGTCAGTTGAGTACTCGTGTGAAGTGAGCTCCTGCTCTTGGATGCTTTTGCTAGGACAACTGTGAATCGTGTTCTTAAGACAAACTTGTGCAAGATGGATAAGGAGCAAAATAATTGCTAGAGGATAACTACTGCAGTTTGTCCCACAGATGCTGGGGGGAAAAACCCCTACAAGAAATGTTCAGTTTTTCAGAGAGAGACCAGAATATTGACTGTGTCTGCACCAGTTTTATTTAGGGCCTTATTTCAGGAATGTGGGTTAATGAAAAAAGTGGTTTTGCCTTTCAGCATGTCTCTGTGTGTGGCTGGTCATTAATAACATGGCCACAATACATCAGCTTATTATGGCTAAGGCACTATGTGTCAAACCTGTGGGGATTTGCCCCCGGCTCCATGTTTTTTCTCTGGCTGAGATTTTGGTTCAGCATGAACTCAGGTAAATTTGATAAGCAATAGTGTTGTATTTTAGGCTTAGACATCCTTTAACATGAGAGTGATGCTAGTTGATTGTATTTGTATCAGAGTTCTGATGTACACTGAATTTAGTTCATCTGAAGGGCCTCTTGCTGAATAATGTCTGAGCTGTTGGCAGGTTGATGCTCAAGTCACTGGGAATGTTTCTGTTTGGGGCTTTGGATCTGATTCATGCTATTGGAGACCTCTCCATAGCTAGTGCAGGGACAGCTCTAGAAATAATAGATTTGAGAGTAAAAATACCCTGATCACTGTCACATCTGTTGTTCTTCCCCACAGTCAGGACTTGAGCAGGCTGGATTTGTCTGTACAGAGTGTTAGTGCTGTACTGTGGACTCGTCCTCCTCAGTTCTGGGTGTTCTATTTCCAGCCATATTTCGTTCCTTGGACACAGAAACAGAGCACTGGGGGTCAGACCCATAAAATATTCAGGCATCCATCTTCCACAGAGAATAAATAGAGGGTTGGGATATCTCTGTAATTCTGTGGATCTTGACTTGAATGACTTGTCACAGGGCAAGTAATAATCAGCAGAAGAGTAATTAGAGATACAGCCCCCAAGTCCTGGCTCAGTGTCCCACCTGTTTAAATTATTTCACTCCAGCCCTGTACTGTGTTGTCTTTGATTGGTTTCAAATTTCCAAACTTTATGAATTGATCTGAAGCTCAGGTATTTGGGAAACTCTGATCATGTAGGATATTTTAACTGACTTCTATGATCTTTGACAGATTTGAGTTTCTAAAAGAAGGGCAGAAGACTCTATCAGACAATTAATTTTTTCAGTAAAAACCTTTCTGGTGTCTGTTACCAATGTAAAGATGAAGAAAATCTCGTTTCAGCAGCTTTTTTTGTGAGATCTTGATTGGCATATATTTTCCAAACTCATTACTTCAGCCTAGCTCAGTATTTATTGCTTAATTTGATGATCAGTTAGATAACAATTTACACTTTGGGGAAACCATTGTGCATCAAGAAATGAAGAACATATTGCAAGTCCTAGTTAGCTTTTCTCACAGGGTTTTGATGTTTTCAGCTATGTTTAGAGATTTCTCATTTATCATCCATGAGGAGAACTGCTGTCCTTCATGGGTCACTGAAAACAGTGGTGAGCCATCAAGCTGTCTATTTGTACAGGTTTTAGATGTCTTTTTTTCCAAGTTGCCAACAGCCCCTAGGCAGTACCTTTAACCACGTGATGAACTGATACCTTTAGAAACAGAGAACCTTTGATTACAGGATTTTGTAAAAGGCAATTATGTTTTCTTAATCCACATTCTGCATTATGTTTAGCTTCAGTATCTGAATTCCTTCCTTATACTTTTATTTTTAAAATCTTTAAAAGTGAGAGGCTAGCTGAAATGGAATTGACTCTTCTTGGACTGAAGTGATTCTCAAAATAATACATAGGAATCAATATATATACTGTAAATAATGATATATGTAAACTGCTGAACTAAATGTCCTTACATATAAATTATTGTTTCTTCTCTGTTGACTATAAAGAGATTGAGTTTCACTTTCTAAATAATTTTTTTAAATTATGGGAAAACACAAATTAATTCAGAAAGGAAAGGCATAACTCATTTTACTCAAAAAGCCGCTGAATTGCTAAATCTCAAGAAGTTATTGTTTTTGAGCTGCGATGGCCTTTTGGAGAGTTTCAGCCTCAGAAGAATTTGACATAGAAAGTTCTGAACAATTGAAGAAAGGGGCTGGAGGAAAGGAGGTGTTTGAAATGTAGTGCATTTGGTAGGTGGCCACAGCACAAACAGTGCTGTACTGCAGTACAGCTGTGCTCCGTGTTTGGCTGGGGAGGAGAGAGTAGCTTTGTCTGCAGGTGTGTACATAAGAACACCCACACACACACACACACACACACACACACACACGTTTTATGACCAGTCTTAAAAGCTATCAGCCAGTTGTGAATTCCCCTTTGCTATTTCCTCTGATCAGCCTCTTCACTAAGACAATTTTAATTGTATGTGAAGATTTCTTTATTTGAAATGTTAGTTGGAGCCTGAAGCCTGCCAAATGGCACACCAGCTGCACACTTTGCTCAATACAATTTACAGGCTGCATGACAATCTCAAGGTAAAAAGAGAAACCAAATAATAGCTGAGCTGTTACTGAAGATTTGATCTTTTCTGAGATAATGGGCTTACCTTCAAGCATATGGGAGACAACACGGCCTTGTCCTTGACTCCCCTCTGTATAAGGGATACTTAAGCTAGAGGTGCATTGTTTAAATCTCTCACTCATCCAATAGAAGCACTAGCAATTGAATTGGAACAAAGATATTAACCTTTGATCTCAGTTTATTTGTCTCAATGCCGCTCATAATTACAATAAAAAATACGGTAATAAATAACAAAGAAAAATGCTGTACAAGTGAAAGTCATTGTCTGCAGTAGACATTGCAAGAACTTACATGCTTCTGCCAGGATGGGGAATAATTAAGGTTAAATGATGAAATAATAAAAATAAAAAGGGGACAGGATAAATTTCCTGGTTGTTGAATCTATGGAGTTGTGTTCCTGTTATGTCAGAGTGTTTAACAGATGTAGTTTAACTAAAGAATCAGTTGATTAAACACATGTGCAGTAATGTGTAGAGAAAAGATACAAAACTGTTTTGGACCTTATCTTGCAAACATTATGCAAGTAGTCTCTGTTAGAATAACAGGAGTGAATCCTTTCTATGTTACTCTTAATAGAAAGCACACTTGACTGCACTTTTAACTATGGTAGCTTTAAATTATAGCATGGCATTTTGCTTGTAATGGCAAACACCCTTCCATGTTTAGTGGGCATAAGAAGGGCTCTCATATACTATTCTGAAAAGGAATAACTGTAAGCTTACAGTTAATGCAAGAGGATATTATATAAAATAATTATAAATGCCATGTGTCCTGAGTTTTCCTATTATGTTTTCAGGTGGCTATGTTGCTAACAGTCTAGCAATTATGACAGATGCACTTCACATGCTGACTGACCTTAGTGGTATTATTTTGACCCTCCTCGCTCTCTGGCTGTCTGCAAAATCTCCAACAAAGAGGTTCACTTTTGGATTTCATCGCTTAGGTATGTAGCTATCAGATTTTGCTGGTAAAGATTATTTTAAGCAAAAACTGTAAAGAGCACCTAATTCTAGAAGAACAGGTAGCTAGAAAGAAAGTAGCAGCAAACCTAAGAGTTGCTTTAACTGGCTCTCAATGTCCTTTCACTGGCTATTGGGGATACACTGCATAGGTTGTATTGCCACAAGTGAATAGATGAAAAAAACCAAAAAAACAAACTTGGCCAAAAGTTTGATGGCAGAATTTCATTCACTGGGAGCAGGGCAAGTCCCTCCATTTCTGTGGAACTGCCACTTAGCAGATTGAGTTAAATTCTCAATGCTTGATTCCATCTTGAAGAGGAAGGCTGGGGAATTGAATTCATGGTGACATTGTTGGTGCAGGAGCTGTGCATGTCAGCCCGTGGTTGTTCACAACAGATTATTGCCAGTGCCCGGGATTTAAAAAATCTTGTTGACTTCAGCAGAATTGTGATACTGGGAAAAGGTCCTATTCAATGTGAAAAATTACATTTTAATCCACAACTAAGAAGTTATGTAGAACATATTATTAGAGAGCTCTGCCCTGCCAGAACTCGTATAAATCAGTATTCCTCTTGCATTCCCCAAACCACAGAAAGCTGAGGTCAAAATGCCCCATGGTTTGCAAAATACTGCAAATTACTTAACCTCTGTCCAGTTTAGGTTAAAAAGAAGTTTAAACAGAATTATGGATTAACCCTTGGAAGAATATTTTCAGGATTTATTACTTCATGTTTGGAAATGTAATGATGAAAAGGGTGTTTTCAAGTGGTTGCTAACTGGATATAATGCACAGCTGCAGGTCTGTAGTCATTTTAGCAAAAACTTCAAAGTATCTTTCTCATGAAATAGATAATTTCTAGTGTCCCAGATTTCTACCTGTTTTCTATAACACTCTATAGCATACATTTTTCAAGGAATTTAATTCTTGTGTAGTCATTATTTGCAATTCTTATTTTGGCTGCTAGAACAGCAGTAGAATTCAACAACTCCATCACTCCTTGTCATTTGTCATCAGTTAGTCACTAGTGCATGAATGCATAACTCTGTACACTAGCTAAGCTCTTTGGGGCTCTAGCAAGAAAGCATTAGCAATGCCAGCATTTCCCATTACAAACTTTTCTTTCATGAAGTTTTAATTTTGTGATAGGAGCTCCTCTGATGCTGAAACCTGACCTTGCAGGTATGCCCCTGGCATTTGCTCATGCTCTCCAGAAGGATGTTAGCATTTATACATACTTTAACCCTATTTCAAAATAATTTGGGTAGTTTATATGTCTTTGTAACTTTTCTAAAATCAAATAGCACATACCTTGAACATGCCTAGCTTAAAACAGGGATTAATCTTAAAAAAATAAAAGGACCTTACTTAACCATTAAAATATTACTCAGTTCTGTAAATTTTCACTGACTTTTCAATTAATGTGAAAGAAGAAATCCCTGAGGACTCCTGCCACCTCATTTTCTGCATATTTTTTTCTCTCCAGTTTACTGCCAGGAAAAATACTAGTCAAATACTAGCCAGACTGATCCAGTGGTGATCCATGGGCCAAATGTGGCCCATAAAATTAGTCTGTACTGCCCTTCTCTCTAGGAGCAGCTACAGGGAGCAGCCTCTCAGTTCTGCAACAATTGCTCCTCCTTTTCTGCTCCCAGCGCCAGCAGGTGGTCAAAGACTAGAACAGGTTCTAGTGGAGTGTCCTTAGTTGGAAATACACGAAACCCACATGGAAGCAGCCCTGAGCAACCCACTGGAGCTGACCCTCCTTTGAGCAGGACTACACAGTTTCCAGGGGTTCCTTGTACTTCAGCCATCCTGCATGAACAGCAGCAGTGCAGCTCTCTGGATGAGCAGGAGAGCCTGGGGAGAAGAGTTTCTGTGCTGCAGGAAGGAAGTGAGTCAAGGCTTTGCCAGGGACCCCCAAAGTACAGAAGATGGGATGGTTCAAAATTACTGTATAATCTAAAAATGACATTTGTGAAATTTATTTTCCTGATTTTAGGCACCCAATCTGAATGCTGTGGCCTCAGGGCCCAGTTTCACACATCAGTGAGTGCTGGCAATGGAACAAAGCAGTTTCTAGGCTATATCCTTGTTGTAACATATTTTTTCAAGTAACCTATATGTAAGAAGCTTGTCAGCAAATAATGTCAGTTCAACAATAGTTTAAACTTCACAAGAGGGATGTTAAAACATGTCAGGATGTTAAAAGTAGGGTACAGATTGGGCATCTGTCACAGAAGAATATGTGGATTATTTGTTTAAAGCTGGGAATATATGCAAGAACTGTCTCATCACTGACCTGCTCTGTTAAGTTTTAAGATAATCCATACATTCAGTAGGCATGAAAATGTTCTAATGAACAATGTTTCTGGTACTTGTTATCATTTTTGTTTGCAGAATGATGAATTTTCAAATTTTCCCATAAACATCACCTTGTAAAAGCAACAGACCTGATAGTTGTCTAGTCAAACTCCAGAAGGAAGTTAGCACTAATTTTCATTTATTTGAATTCTCTTTGAATGCATAATATATAAGTTCCATGTTCAGTTTTATTCCATTTTCAGTTGTGAAAAGGAAGCTGACAGATTCAGGAATAGGTTAGAAAAGTGAAGACAAAGTAATGGAAACTGCAGTCATGTCGAAGAAGAATTAAGTTCTTGAAGCCAAAAATAGTTCAGTTTCCCCACCAAGTGCAGATACCTCCTTTTCAGCAAGACACTGAGCAGATTTAAGCATAGATATGGAGCCTGGCACTCGTCCATTGCTGCAGAGACAATGTTAGTAATGACAGAATCAGCCAGTCCACTGAGACCGTGCACAGTTCATTTCACAAGAAGTGAAAGATCTCAGCACAGATCTACAATGCTGACATGACAGTGACTCTGGAAGAAACTGCAAGGAAAACACTGGTTTGCATTGCAGAAAACATGGGGTTAGATTGTAAAAGCACACTATATTATTTCTCTGGTAAATGCTAATGTGCTATGGCTTCACAAGTTTTTAAAAAAGCATTCTGGAAAACCTTCTAAGCAATGTATTGTGTATTTTTAGGACTGTTGCCCTGAATAATCTGCCAGCTTTGTAAAGATAATTTCCATTTCTGTGGATATTTCCAGGATTTTCAAGTTGCTCTGAAATGATCTCAGATTATGACAGTTGACTTTCAGAGCCTTGTTACTGCCTGGTAATGCTGTTCTTCATCCAGGCATTGACACACTACTCAGCAGCTGAATGTGCTGGTGTGAGTTTCTTCTCCCATAATGATGTTAATAATTCAGTGCATGGATCACCTGATTTTGGTGACATTAAAATGCTGATATAGCTGCATGGGTTTTTTTCTGTAATACGCAATAAATAAAATTAAAACACTTCTGTGTTAGAAAAGACATCTGCAGTAACCGAAGTTCTGCTGCAGGCTGACAGATTGAAAGCAGAGGAAGAAGAGAGGCAATTCTCATATGAGTATTCTTAGACCTATGGTACAGCCAAGGGCAGAATTTTGCCCTTTCTGGGGAATAAATCAGGGCAACGTGTGGAACTAGGGGGAAGAACAACCATTACAACTCCAAGTAAATTAATTCCACCTCTGATCTTTGAGTTCACAGAGGAAGGCTGAGATCCCAGTGATCCATCTGGCAAGTGACAGTAATGAGCATTATGCATAATGATTACAGATTACTCAGGCATGGCTGAAGATTTATATGCAATACAATGGAGCAAGCATTAAGGTTTTCCCAGGGCTTTTTGTAAAGCCCTGTATTAACTTGATTATAACTGTCTTTAACTGGGCTAATGTTTTCTCTGCCAGCTGTGTTGCCTTTTTTTTTTAAGTTTCAGCTGCTGCAGGCGATAGTTTTCAAAATATGAAGCTAGAGGGTAAAAGTACATTTATGATAAAAGCAATCTAGTGGCCCATTTGGAAATACCTATATTCTTTATAGTAGGGCCTTAAAACTGTAGTGTGGACTCATCCTTCTTAGGTTTGTGTGCTATTACCAGCACATTTTCATGACTGGGGTACTGAGACAGCACAAAAGTCCCGACCTATAAAATATTTAGCCCTGTTTACCTCCCATCAGAACAGCAGGAACCTCATAGAGAACTGTAACCACTTTCCACAGATGTAAATGGCAGCAGAAAGCATAGGACAATGAAACAGTAGTTTTTATTAGTTTTCTAATGTTTATCTTTCTTTAGATATATGTTTCTTTTTGAAAGTCCCTGCTGATCAGATAAAGTTCCTGTGCCACAATAATGGTCATAATGCTCTTGCTTTTTGTGAAATAATAATACGTGGTAAATATTAGATAATGTTAGAACAGCATATCACAGCAATACAGAAACTTACATTAAGCTAGCCTTTGTACCTGGAATCTGCCTCAGATAACATTTATGAACACATTTGTCAAGGAGCTCAAGAGTATCATGTGTGACAAGTTTGTACTGTTTGATTTTTAATCTTTTTGTAATTTCTTCTCCATCCTAAATACAAAAGGATATATAAAAGTAATTTCTAAACCCAGGTTAATATTCTGTATACTTAAAATCAAGATTTCCCTTATTTGTGGGTGGGCTGATAATGTTTGAGATCACCTGTCCTCTTCATGCCTGGACAAGGCCTTTGCCTGTGAGTTCTCAGGCAAATGTTCTGGTTATCTGAAAAAGTCAGGATCATCACCTGTGCAGAAGTTTTCAGAGAAAACATAATTTGAGGTATGTACTGATGACAGGGACAAGTGAAGGAGTGGATTAGAACAAACTCTGTTGGTTAATCCTATTTTACAAGTTTTATTTGCCACACAACTTCTTAGTTTATATTAGGTATGATTTGGATAAAGTAGTTAAAATAAGGCCCTGTCCACATTGTAATTTGGAAATAGAAATGGATCTGAGATACATTTTTATAATGTTTTTTCCTTTCTGTTTGCAGAAGTACTGTCAGCCATCATTAGTGTACTGCTGGTCTATATCCTTATGGCATTCCTCTTGTATGAGGCTGTTCAGAGAACTATCCATATGGACTATGAAATAAATGGTGATATCATGCTCATCACAGCAGCCGTCGGTGTTGCAGTTAACTTGATGTAAGACCTTTCTCTCCATTAACACTCATAAATGTATTTCTCAATAAGCTGCTAATTCATTCATGGCCTGTAACTTTGTCATGGGATGTAATTTTGCTGGACCTCTTAATTTTCCCAAATAAGACAAGAAATTACACCAAGTATTATTTTTCAATTATTTGGTTTAAAATGAAAAAACCCTAACAAATCCTCCCCACGCAACAAACCCTAAAGCCTATTTCTTGAAGCATTTCTCTTCTTTCACTTTCAGAATGGGGTTTTTGCTGAATCAGTCTGGCCACCTTCACTCCCACTCCCACCCTCACTCTCATGTACCTCAGCCGAGCTCTCCAAGCACAGCCCAGGCCAGCAGCCACGGGCACAGCAGCCACGGGCACAGCAGCCTGGCTGTGAGAGCAGCGTTTGTGCACGCCCTGGGGGACCTGGTACAGAGCATCGGGGTGCTGGTAGCTGCCTACATCATCCGCTTTAAGGTAAGGAAGGGCCTCTCCTGGAGGCACCGGGAATCTTGGCAGTTCAGCTCTGGTGATTAAAGTCAAAAGGGGCCTGGTTTTGTATGTTATTAAAAATACCTTTAAAATTATGTTTTATGATAAGCTTCATACATCATACAAAATAAGCAAAACTGTCTCTACTACATATATACAAACAAAAAAAATTCATGAAACTTGGAACTAGAAGTAACCGTGTTTTCTGAATCACATTTTTGTAAGTGATCTTGTTTTCATACATCCTCTGACATTGTGAAAATTCTCTTTTGCAGCCAGAATACAAGATTGCTGATCCTATATGTACATATGTATTTTCCATACTGGTGATTTTTACAACAATTCGAATTCTGTGTGACACAGGAGTTATTATTCTGGAAGGTAAGATCTGTGCCCAATCTGCAGTACTTTACATGGAAAATACCAGTTTTCTTGACATCATGATCCCCATTTCTATGTGGATTGTACCTGGAGACCTGTCTGTCTTGGTGCTGCTTTAGTCTGGTGGTTCTTTATGGCTCATGTAAATTGTAGCAGTTTTTAGGTGTCTTTGACTGTGGCCAGAACAACACAAGTCCTATAGCTGCACACTCTTTACCATCAGGAGATGGAGATGTGAAATGTACAGAACTTTCTTGTGTGTCTGCAGTGACTCCCAGTTAAATCAAGTGAACATTTGCCCAGACTCAGTTCTACACTCTCACTTTCATTACTTGTACAGTTGAAGTGAATGTGAATGCAGGTAAAAGGAAGCACCAAGCATAGGCAAATGGCTGGACGTGTGGTTCATGCCAGTCCTGTCTTTCCCTTTCCTACAAGTGCCTTTGTATTACTTGTGTGTATCTACTGTTCCCATAGGGGAAGCTGCAAGTTAAGAGTGGTGTCAAATACGGAAAAAAAAGGGAAGAAAAAGCTGAATGTGGGCTGAAAAATCTTACCTTACATGACATAGAGGGAAACATGTCAGCAACATCCTTTGCTTTATCACAGCTTACGTGCTAACTGTTACTGCTCTAGTACTAGATCTAAGTACTATTACTTTATAAAGTGAAGATGTTAGGGCTGGGAGAAAAATCTTAGGTTTTAACTGCCCATTCCTAACTGTCTCATGTGAATTACCTTTGACTTTACTTCTATTATGTTATGAGGTTAAATCAGAAACTTCAGACTCTTCAGTCAAGTGCTTTTGCTGTCACTTAAGATTAAAAAAAAACCCAGCAAAGTAGAAGTTCACTGAGAAGGCAAAAATGATGAAATTAGCTGAAGAACCCTCAATTAGCTCCAAGGCAATAGATTTAGCTGAAGGAAACAGATAAGACAAACTAATGAAGTGTCAGATTCCAGATGTTTTGTGTTGTAGCTGTTCACATAGGTATCCCAGTTGTCATAAAAATCTCCAAATTAATGATGTCATTAAAAGTGATGATATATGGGCTTTATGCATGCTAGGAGACTTTTCCAACTCAAATTCAGGATCTCCAGAGAATGGACTTGCATTTATACTGGAAACCACTGCTGCAACATCAAGGCCCTTAAGTCCATTTTTCCTGGGAAAAAGAAAGCTGTACAAATACTAGACAGTTAGCTAGTTATTTATCAGCTAAATAATTTTTGATGGTCTCCACTAGAAGGAAAATTTTGTTTCATGTGAGACAGTCTTAGACACTGAACTTTCAAAATAGATAGTACTGGAAATAACGTGATTTAAGATACAGTAAGGCACCAGGTTCAGAGAAGTCATGAAAAAAGTCTGAAGAAATTTGAGAAGCAAGCGGCTGAACTCCTCATAATATACATAAAGAAACTCCATACAACTAGATGATAAGCAATAAAAGCTACTGTAGCATCAAAACTACTCAGAAAGAGTTCATGCAGTACTTGCATTAGTTTTTGACCCAAGTTGATAATCTAAAATTTTGATTTTGCCCTTTCTACAAGGGCATGGTGTAAAAGGATGGTGGTGGTAACTTAGAGATGTGCTGCTGAAAATACTAAAAGGACTTGATCTCTGATTTGCAGAGCTGACACTGTAAAATACAGTCCTTGGTGTTGACCACTGCCCATGGATTACTGTAGCCTGTGAACATGATCCAGGTACCTGAAAAGCAGTTGCAGGAGACAGGCCCTAGCTTTTTTTCTTTTTTTTTTTAACAGATTTTGACCCTAGAGTCCGGTCTAAACTGTTACTAAGGGTTAGAAGCTGCAGTGAAATTGTCAACAAAAGTACATCATTGGAAAGGAACTAATGTTGGCTGTTGCCAGAGTGTGGATTCTGGACAGGACAGATTCCATTGAGAAAGCTCTGCAATTCCTGTACAACTTCTGTATCCATACCAGACTTAAGAGGCCCATTTCCGTATTATTTTCTGTTGATAACATGGAAGTTACTAATCATTTCCAACAGTACAAATTCTAATTTCTTTGACATTGAGATCTGTTGTGACATTTTAAAGGCTACTGAGACTTTGCAGAAGACAGAATTAATTTTATCTCATGTTTGGTATCACAGGAGTTCCAAGGCATTTAAATGTGGATCGCATCAAGGAAGACTTGATGAAAATTGAGGATGTTTATTCTATAGAAGATTTAAATGTTTGGTCTCTCACTGCAGGAAAAACAACTGCCATAGTCCACTTGCAACTAGGTAAGCTGCTGGATAGCATAATTCTAAATTGAATCCAAGTTTAGGAAAAACCCCACCACTTCCTCTTCATATTGTAATTTAAACTGAATCAAGAAAGATCATTCTGAGGAAGGAAAATCTACTAACTCTGCTTTTGTACAGCAAGGAACAGAACACCTTGGCCAAGGAAGACATGGTGTAAATGAAAACTGTGCAAATAAAATACATTCATACCCAAATGTCCAATGCAGATTCTTTGGGTAGGGGAAAAAAACCAACACAAAATTTCTCCTCAGAAATTTTGTTAAATGTTTAGGGAAAAAGGGTGAAATTCTAATGTGGAATAATCTACATATGAAAAATAAATGTTTTGCCAAAACCTGTGCTGATTCAGACATCTAACTATACTATGAATATCAGTTCTTAGTAAGAGAGCTCAGGTTTTTGAGAGGAAAGTATCAGACATACACGGAGTTCTATCAAGAGAGGTGTAAAATGATGGAGAGTACACAGTGACCACAAGAACAATATTAAATTAGTAAAGAGTGTGAGCAAAAATTATTCTCATCGGTGACACTGGGATAAGTTTGAGAACATTTGCATTGCTCAGGTTTCTTAAGGAGGGAACTTATTAATTCTTTTCTTTATTTTTCAGTTCCTGGTAGTTCATCTAAATGGGAGGATGTTCAGTCCAAGGCCCGGCAGCTGCTGCTGAACACGTTTGGAATGTACAAGTGCTCTGTCCAGCTTCAGAGTTACAAACAGGAAATGAGCAAAACCTGTGCAAGTTGTCAGAGTTCCAGTGCCTAATTTCTTACGTTTTGGGAACTGCTGCCTTATTCTTTACCTTGTGTAGTCAAAGACTGAGAGCAATAAATGCAAAATGAAAATTATCCAATAGTAACCATTCATATGTGGATTTGTACCATGGGACATGCAGCAGGGAGAACTGGTGCTGCAAAAAGTGCAGTGGTTGCCCTACAGAACATGTATTTCACTCTCCGTCGTACTGGTTTGTTCAATTTATTATGATTTTGAGACAAAGCTGGTTTTGGATTATTGTTTACAAACTGGAACGTGGCTCTGCAGATACCTCACAAATTACAGTCCAATATTGTCCTTTAAACATTACGTACCACAAAGTACCTGCACTCCAAAAAAAAAAAAAAAAAAAAAAAAGACTCCAAAAGGAGCGTCAGGTATTCAGTATTTCAGTCAAAAGTCTCTAAAGCTGATCATACCCGGGTTGCACAATATATCATGATCCCCAAATTCATTATTCAGTATTTTTGCAATAGTAATTTTCAGACAGTATCTCAAACTATTAACACATACATTAGGTTGAATTCTCATGGAAACTGTCTCTTTGGAGACAGTGCAAAACACAGAATTTCCTGTACCCAGACCAGAAAGTTAGCTTTAATCTGGGCATTCAGAGATCCAGACAGGAAGATCCTTGCCCAGACTTCTGGTATTTATCTAGAGACCCAACACTGGACCCAAAGTGTTTTAAGTGATCAGTTATCTTTAATGTGTTTTAGAATAGGATTTATACATTAGAAACAGGTTATTTATTTTACAAAGTTTTGACTTGTAAGAGGAATTTATTATTAATAATCTTGAATGTCTAAACCATCATTTGATTCACATTAAAAGGCCAGTTGATTAGCATGCATTCTAGTTGTAATTAATAAATGTCCTGTAATTGATCATTTTTTCCATATTGTTTTGTTTTAAAAGTCAAATGATAGAAGTGATATTTGACTTGGAAATCCTCTCAAATGCAATCTACAGATATGTGCACCTAACAGGAAAGTGGGGAGCAGAAGTTTTAGACATGCACAATTCCATCCATCACAATCTCTGACCTTTTCATCTTTGCTTTAAGCACAGCATGGTAGCATCCTGACAGGAATGCCACTGTGATAGCAGTTCCCACTACTTAGCTTATGGATAAAGCAAAATCCAAGCAAGCTCTGTAACCTGAAGGTGTTGGACAACAATATCATAACAGCCTAGAGCGGCAGAAAGGTTCTTCTGTATTTGCAGAGAGGAGGCAACCTGGAAAGACTCTGTGTTCATCTGGACAGCTCAGAGTGACAGAGTGGAACTGTTTGGCTTCATTGTGGAACCCCTGTATTTTGAATGTACCCAAGATAATAAATCTTTTCACTAAGCTATCATACACCTACAAGCCCAGATTCAACCTGCTTCTGACGGCCCTGGCATTCAAGAAGCTAAGGACAGCAAGAACATGACCTACAAAGTTCAGAAGAGGGCAAGAACTTGGCTTCAAGTATTTTTTGTTTATTCTGTCCTTTCACCTTATGCAGAACTTCCACTGACATGAAAAGTAGTTCTCTGTGTGGATCAGAAAGGAAAACTTTTGCCCAGTTATGGTTATTGTGATATTCAGCTGTGAATATTTCAGCTATTTTCTGTTTTGAAACTCACTAGGGTTTCACACTTTCATAAGGCTAATTTGTATCTGCATTTGGTGGTAACAATTTTGGCTTCTTTTCTTCCTTTTTTGGAGGTAGAGGTCACATGATGATTTTTTATTGATGAAAGCAGACAGCACATTGAGAATCTGGACAAAGTGCACATAACACCAGACTGTGTTTGTATCTCTTTGGGCAAGAAGGAGGAACACTGGTGTACAGCATGGGAGCATGTGCAGCTGAAAAGCACCACTGTGCTTGGGAAGGTAATGCTGCAATACAAACACTATCATTAATTAAGCCATATCACAGTTCATGAAAAATGTGCATCCCATCCTTACAAACTTACTGGCAAAAACCACAAACAACAGGTATTTTGCACATACTAATGCTCAAATGGGTTTTAATTAAATTGGGGTTTACAGTTGATGTAATTAGATGTTGAAGTACAGTAGAAATGTATTGGCAGTTTTTTAATAATTTAGTATACATTTGTTTAATTGAAGAAAAAAGGTGTGTTGTTTTATTGTGGGTTTTATTAAATCGATTATTAAAGTTCACATTGTCTTATAAAATATTTATTTGTATTTCATCAAATTCTTATAGCAGTCTGATACTTAGGGCAGCTGTGTTTTGAAATGTCTGAATACTCAGCTTTAAATCAGTTTGCAGATGCTATACAGAGAATTAATTAAGTCTCTGTCTTTAGTCAGAACAATTTAAGACTTGTGATTTCACATGCAATAATTACACTTCAGAAGGTATAAGCTGACAAAGTATGGTGAAGGATCATCATAAAGCAACTGGCAAAACATTCCTGAAACCCTACATTCACCCTTGAGGGGCCCTTGTTACCAAGGACTGGAAGTTCAGAGAAGAGGCAACAGAAGACAAAATGAGAATAAAGAATAAAAGAATCAGTAAGTTTTTGTCGAGACTCCAAGATTGTTTTCAGTATCAGCTTAGAGAAAAGGGGCATTATTATAAATAAGGTTTCATGTTTTTCCAAGCCAGATTATTTAATGTGGCTAAGATAGTTTACACACTCTTACACTATTCTTTTCCTTCTAACAAATGCTCTGCCTGAAGTGAAAATGCATATACTTGACAGAACTTCTTTCTAAACAAAAAACTTCCGAGATCCAAGCGGGTTTCCACAACCAGTATCCCTGGTTTTCAGAGCTGTGGTCGAATGCTCTTGCTGACTGAACAGATGAAATCCTGAGAAAATTTTGCCACTTCTGAAAGTCCACATTGGGAGGTTTTTCCTTTCTAAATCAGTGATTGTCACCCATCCTCTTCTGAAGCACAGATACAGTTTTGATGACAACCTACTCATATGAGTCAATAAAACATTTTCATATGAGTAGATTGCAAACCCTCACATCCTACTCTTCCCTTCTCAAGTGTTCTTATCCTAAGAAGAAAATTAGCAGAAACATATTTTGTTTCTGAATGTTTTCCTTGCCTAATTATGTGGTTTGGTTTTTGTTTTTAATTGTGTTGACATTTTGTCTTTTCAATACCAGCAGCATTTCTTTCTTCACCAGCAGAATTACCATTTAAAATGTCATACTTGAATCTGGTCTTCAATTATCTCACTACTGTACATATCTGCTATTTCTTGCAGAATCACTCCCAAGTGGCAGAGTGACTCAGAAAAGCAGAAGGCTGGCATTTAAAAGTAAAAAACCCCAGAAGACACCCATCAAGTAATGAGTGGCAAGGATTCTGTTCAGGTGTTTTGTTGGGATCTCATGAAGACGCTGCACTGATGCTGCACAGGGCAGGGCTGTTAAAGCATTATTTCTCTCTACAAATAAGTGTAAGTGTAATAAACAAAGATGGGTTGTTGGGTAAAAGACATGGTACATACTGCAGCAGCTTCCTAGTCCAATAAACTAATCCATTGCCAGAGAAGACGTTCCCTTGAGTTCTCAAGAGAAGGAGACAATCCCCTGGAAGTACCCAGCTCATTTCCCTCTATCCAAAAGAGCATTGCCAAGGTCTTTATTCTTGCTGATTGCTCCAAACACATTGCTCCAAACACATTTGGTGAGCACACGTAGCTCAATGTCATGTTTCACCAGCTCTTTGCATTATGCCACTGCTCTCAGCTTCCCTCTCTGTTTTCTTGCCATATTCTGTCCCCTCCACAGTTTCATTAATAATGTCCAGCTCACACTCTGGGCACCTGCTGCTTACAGGGTCACCAGGAGTTTCTCTCACTGCACCAGGGGTGGAACACACCCCAAGAACAGTGCTGTTCAAATACAGGCCTGCCTTTGCCCTAAGGTCATTTCCTCTTTGATCAATAAAATAAAAATAAAGCCTTCTAACCAAGTTGCTAATTCATAGGAAAGACCTATTCTGAAAGCCTCTAGATTCCTTTTCTACCATAAAAAATACAAATGTCCTCCACATTAAAAATATAAATGTCCTCCACCCTTAATTCTCTTCCCAGTTTCAACCTCCCCTCCCCTCTATAACAAATCGTGCTGGGCATTGACAGTCTCTGTGCTCAGGAGCTGGAAAATCCCCTACTGGTCTACTCTTCTTATGCAATTTTCCAGAGCTGAATGCTCTAGGAAGGACCCTACATGCTCTTTAATTCTTTCAAATCCCTGACACAACTTTGGAAGCTACTAGAATAAATATGGATCCTTTCCATTTACTGTTTTGCAGCCACCACAGCAATCTGCTCTTAAAACACATGTGCAGCTGCCTTCTTTGTGTAAAGCTGTAAAATGATGATAACCTCATCATTATATTTACTCTTTTGAGTATTTTTGCTCTTTTATCTCTATTTTCCTTTTCTACATTGTCTTCTCTCAGTATTGCACAGTTTGAAAGCAACTGGTGCTAAATATGCAGGTTAAAATAACTGTATTTATTACAGCTATGAAGCATTTACACCTTTTATAGCATCAATTTATGCCAGGAAAAAAGCAAGCCATTTCATAAGCAAAATATAATTTTATCCTTAAGATGACTGTTTCATGATTGCCTTATACATGGTAAAAAGATAAGTTGTTTCTCCAGGACCATTATCAGCCAGTAAATGAGGGTACATAAATCATCAGTGTTGTCTGTATAGAGTGTGTCCTGCATTGTTTTACATAGTAAACTAATACATACAGGGATTTTTTGTTCAGCTGATGAATAAACAAAAGGACCCAGATGGCAAGCAGACTGCATTTATCCCAGGAGTATTAAGAGCACCCAACTCCCTGCAATCTTTCTATTTCTTTTCCCAAAGCATACACAAAGAAATTATTTAATAAATCCCTAAATAAACTGATTAAATATGAACTTATAAAACTAGTTACCTAAGTCTAGTATCTGGCCTTTTAATTTTGAGAAAAACACTGTAAACCAACACTTTCATAGTTAAGACGGTGCTCTATAGTTCAACGCAGCATACAATTATTCTGCATTTTTTTACAGATTTCTCGTGTTCCTGTTTCCCCTGAGAGAACAAGTCTGACGCACCTGTATGGACGAAGACTCTCCTCACCTGGTTGCCTTCCAGGCCGTTCCCGGCTATTCCAGACGATGGCGCTCCGCTCCCAGCGTTCACGAAGAGCTGCGGGCCGAGGAGAGCCACGGCCACTTCCCGCTGGCAAGGGAATATATTCTATTACACACCCTAGAGATGTCTTATGAGTAAGTAAAGAAACAGCAACACAACTCCAAAACACTCCTGTCTCCCCTAAAATAAACCCCCACCAAACCTTCTTATTTTTTCCTAAAAAAAACCACAGGGGATTTATCTTTTTAATGGATGCAATAAGGAAAAGCACAAACCTAGCACAGACTGCCTAATCAATTACTGGGAAGGAGTTTAGACACTTTTTGAAGGCATATATGGGTAAATACCATGGAATGCAAGCTCTAGTGCTTTCCTCCAGTTACAAACATCTAAGGAAAGAAATCATATGAGTAGAAATTAGTTGAGGGTACAGATATCTAAAATGTAAGTAGATTATATTAATTAATATTAATACGTAACAAGGTAAGTTATGATGCAAGCCCTTTGTTTCTATGAAAATAAGTATTTCTTCTTTAGGGTGCTGAATTCATGTTTCCAGGACAACAGATGATTCCATCTGAAACATTCCTGATTGTGCTTCTTTCTGAAGAATCAGAGGGCACTTTCAATCAAAAACATAAACTGAGGGAAACAATTTTGTTTCAAACTAGGTAGGTACAATTATAAATGACAAATATTGTTGTGTTTACATTCTGCAATTGCTAGTACAGTGGTGGTTTTGGATTTAGTAGAACAGAGAGAGAAAATACAGATGAAGGAGGCTGATGAACTCGGACCACAACATCCTTCCAGTAAAGTCTTCTTTAATTTCTTGAAGCTATTAAGCAATTCTGTATTTTCTAAGCAATTGCAGAACAGACACACCTTAAACTGGAAACAGAAATTGCCCAACCAGTTACACACTGGTTTCTTTCTATTTGCTTGAAACAGAACCTAGATGGAATAAATGAGGATGGTTTTCAAGCAACCTAGCTTCCTCAATTTGTCACAGAGCAAAGTTCAAGTCATATAATAGAAAAATCAAAGGACAGTAACTCTCTGCTTATCAAATGTTAAAGGTTCATGGGCAGTTAGCAGGAAATGAAGATATGTTTTAGATGTGAACAGCTATGCAGGATATCTCGTTACATTAACTCTATTAACTGTCTTTGTAAAGAAGCAATGAAAGCAGAATATTTTTCTTCCACAGAAAGTTCTTACTACATCTGAGATTGCTCTGAGGATCAAGAGAAGAGCTAGTTCCTAATTTGAGCTGTCAGAGCTAGAAGGAGGCTGCTCACGGAGCTGGAGTAATAACAAAATTAAACCCTACGAATCAGCCCACCACCTGCTATGGCTAAGTAGAGGTATTCATACTGCAGGGTTGTTTGCATGACTTTTTAAAAATTTCTTTTTAAGAGTTCATGTTTTGTTTATGATACAAGGTGTGTTCGTGTACAAAAAAAAGAAGGAGGGAAGAAAACACAAAGCCAGGTCATGTGGGTAGTGCAGATAGCAACTGGGAAACATTAGACTCCATCACACTGCCATGCAACCAAGTATGGAATATACTGCTGTATCTGGAGCAAATTGTGGATGGTCAGAAATGAAATCAATACCAATTTCCTTTACAGACTGCAGCATAAATTGATCTGTTGTGCAGTTCAACTAAGACATCTGATGGCTTTACAGTCCTAAACAAGGTACGTTTTACCTGCCTAGCCCACACCAAAATCTTTCATTACTGTATGAAAAAAAGAATACTGGAGTGTTGCCCCCATCTCCCTTCTTTGTTGTGTTGCCATACTTTCTTTTATCTGTTTAGTGAAGAAGAAAAAGGCCCAGTAGATAAAGAACTTCAGTTAGCTTTTGCTTTTTGAAACTGATTACACTTCATTTCAACAAATGTCCCATAGCTACAGCAATACCCTGTGCTGTACTATTCCTTAAGGAATGCAGGTTATACCTGTGGCACTGCCAGCCAGACAACTGTGAGGATTTCTAAAAGCAGATAGGAAGGTCAAACTCTTTGATTCTTTATTGAGGGAATCCACCTATGACTTGGGTGGTAATTCTGTTTACTGCAGAGTGTGTACACCTGTGCCCTTTACACCTACTGAGAAGTGACATTCTCAACAGCATATCCTCAAACACCAACTTCCCTGTAACACCCTGTTTTGTGTAGTGGAAACACCTCCTCTGTGAACTAACAAAAATACAGGAACTTGAGCACAGACATGCCCAGTTCTTAAATGTTTTAATTTTTCTTAAGAGAGAATTTTAAAAAAATAGATACTAGTACACATACACAACCACTGCAAACTTTACTGTATTAATTCCATGACTCCCTGAAATCAGTATAAAACATTCACCTAACTTCAAACTAATGGTTTTTCATCTACTTTGTAAAACATGCTGTTGTAATATGGACATTATGGGCAAGAGTTGGGCAATGAGGCAATGACTAGAACTGCAAGTCATTGTGACTGGGATTGTGCTGTGGATTTCTGCTTTAGGGAGTAAGGTGGATACTGCTGTCTTCAAGATGAATTAATTTTTTCTGACCATAGCATCTTTCATTCAAAGCATTTGCCAAGAGGAAAACTAAACACAGTAATGGCAGCATAATGCTAATATATTTAATAATGCTAACAGCATGGGCAGCATAGTGCTAACAGTCTTCAAAAAATATTTAGTCTTTACTGAATTATAAAAGAGGTCACAGCAGAAGGGAAAGATGCATCATTAAATGAAACAATTTTAACAGCTTCAATAAAAAAACCACATTTCCCTTTCTTTTAATGTAGTGAATTGGTGATTTATTAGCAGTAGATGATTGCTTTTCTTTGGCAAACTGATAAGATTTTTCTGTTGCTACCAGGGATCAGAACTTTCTGCATTTGCTTCCTTGTTTGTGCAGCAGCAGCATCAGATAAAGGATGGTGTTTATTAGTTACCTGCCTATTGGAAATACATTTGATTCAATTAAAGAAGTGACAATCAACAGGAGATGAAGAATGTGATAGCTTTGCTAAAGTTGAAAGCATAAACACATTTATTTACATGCAAGAAGTTTTTCAGACTTGTGTGGTTTTCTGACCTCTCAGATAAAACAGAACTTTGCAATGAAAAATTCACAGTGTCCAATACTGAAAGAGGAAGGGAAAGAACCCCAGCTTTTCACTAACATTATGCTGTTGACAATCTCTGTTATGATCTGTTGGGAGGTTCCTCATTTACACCTCACACAGCATCAGTGCTTTCTGAAGATAAGATACAGTTCTGTGCAGAAGGCTGATGCAGTCCTTGAGCCCAGAGTCTACCTCTAAAGTACCACACCATACTGGTTTCATGACAAATACTGTAAAAATGAGTCAAATGATAGAATGTAGCTTGAAAACCGAAGAGTTCTACAGAACTGGAATCACTAAGTGGGATGCAGGTGGCTCTGCCTTGGGACAGCATGATTTAATGGTTTAGGATTTTGACAGGATCGCTACAGAGCTCTGGTCCCCGTAGTCTATTTTTAGTGCTGTATCCTAATGACTTATCCTCTAGAGTCTCTAGATTCTCAGTTTACCATCATCTGGTACCAGCAATGTCTGTGCAGAATTCCCATGCCCTTCAGCAGGGAAATCTGATTATAAAATCAATGTCTGTAATAGAAGTCCCAAGTTCAAGAGCTATCATCTCCTCCCCCTGCATCAGCAACACTTGGGGTCAGTGAAGTCAGCAAATCTGGCTGAGGGAGAGCTAAGGGAGTTTGAACTTACAGAATTATGTCTTCTAATTACTCAGAAAATACACAAATGAAAAAAAGCTGTTTCACAGCTTCTGTCTGGACTGCACAATCTGCCAGGCTACAGGAATCACTGTGATTTATAGTACTTAGGATTAAAAACTGCCAGGCCACTTCAAGTTTGGCGTTCCAGAACACAAACAAATTATTTTACCATTTACTTGCAAAGAAACAACCAGATGAACAGAATTTCAGTAACAGAACAGCCCTCACTCAAAACAAAAGATATCCAGATAGAAGTGGGTGAGCAAGATCCTCTCATATTATTAGCAGATATGGCCCTTATTTTTCTGCAGCAGCATAATTTAGAGAGAGTTTTCAGTGGAATGGACCCTGCCTACCAACATAATGTAAATTTTTTAACAAATTCAAAGAAAAACTGCAAATGTTTTTATGTGAGTCTGTTGAAAGATAATTCAAGCTTATGTTTATGGCTCAAATTTGTGCTTCATCTGAATTTTAACAGATGCTCACAAGTACTTTTTAAACCTTATGGAGAGATGGTCACAAAAGTGACTTGCTTTATCTTAAAAACGTTGCATGATGAAGTCTTAAGTTATTTACACGGACCTTTTAGGTAATGTTACAGAGATTCAAATCTTGGCCATGCGCAGCAGAAATGGTATTGCCAGCCAGGACAGGAGCACACCTGCCAGCCCAGCACCCCAGCCCTGGCTGTCACTGCTGCTGCACAGCCAGGCCTGTTCATGGGGCTCCACACACAGAGCAGCCAGCCGGGACACCCCGGACACCTCCAGGGACTCCAGGCACAGCCCTGCACTGTCACAACCCCGAACAGAGGCCATGGAGCCGGCCTGGCGCACCAGGCCAAACCTTGGAAGTCTTAAATGTGAAAACAACACCAAACCAAAGCCTTTGTCATGCCCCTGTTGCTAAGAGATGAGCATTTATTTAAACTAATTTGGTAACCTGGCAGTGAAGGCCAGCACTAGCCTATATCCTGATACCCAGACCAACTGTCTCCAGGGCTCCCAACTAGTGTTCTGCCACCCCCACTCTTACAACTTGCTCACATGGCCCTCAGTCCCCAACCAGGAACCGTGGTGATGCTGCAGGACAGCTCTCACTTGTTGGGGTGAAATCTGTTCCAGGCCCCAGGCTCCCTGTGTTGTGAGGGGCTCTCCCACGTCCTGGGTGAGACCAGAAGGGCAACACCTCCCCAGTAATGGCTCAGAACAAATGCACAACAAAATTATCTAAAAGTAAATGCTAATTGAACTAAACCCCTTGTTCATCTGGGCAAGGTCCAGCATAAATAGGGTTGGCACAGCCTGGGTGAGGGTGTGTGATCTTCGGCCAGGGCGAGGCACACAGGCAAAGGTGCTTTGGACGCGGCGTCAGCTCACGGCTTCGCAGGGGCCATTACTGCGACGGCTGCTTCCCGATGGAGAGAGCTTTGGGCAGACAAGCTGCCTGCTCCCTGTTCACATCAGCACCTGAGGGGCAACACTCACCAAGTCCAACCCCAGTGCCCCAGGCCAAGCCAGCAGTATTGCTTTTATTTCTATTTCAGTTACACTTTTTATACTTTTTACGGGATTTCACTGTCTGTATGCTCCTGTCCAGCATGTGGATGTGCTGGACAGCAAAGGCTTCAGACAGCAAAGGAAAACCATGCCAGCCATGTTTGTTTAACCTGAAAGCTTTTTCAGAAGTGTCCAACACCAAATATTGGCTGGATTCAGTGAATCATTCCCATTACTCTTGTATGTTTCCACAGCTAGTCCTAGGGACAGCCACCCTCTGTGCTAAGGCAGACAACAACTGCAGGATGAACCATTTCCTCCAACAGTTGCATCAGCCCCCTCTGTAAATTACTATTTTCTGCAGAAAGCCACCACTGAAGTAACCAGACAGTGCAGAAGTACATTAATAGCACCTTGTGGCAGAGAAATGCAGGGGGTCAGAAGGAGAAATGCTAACACTGGGGCTATCACATGCAGAAACAAAAATGCCCAACACAGCTCTCTGATAACCACACCACCACAAGATCTGAAGATTAAAGGTCTTGAAGTACTACTGTAATAACAAAAATTAGCAATTCATTGTATATACAACACTACAAAAAGCAGTCTTCTTCTGTTCTTCCAGAAAGCTATTTACATATGGGCTACATAGAAAAATTTAGAGAAGCATGACTGTAGATTCTAATGATGGATTTCTAACAGTGATTAGAACTATTAAAACACATTTCTAATGGTATCTAACCTATACTGGAAACTCTCACAAACTAGTGACCATTTTTATTTAACTTCATAATTAACAGGAAATTTGGAAGTTATATAGTTCCATGTAAATGTACTAGCTAGGGTGAGCAAAGACAGTGGTTGTTAAAAACCAACATCAACCAAATCAAAACCAAGAATAGAATGGAGTAGGAGACTAAAGAGAGCAAAGGAAATAGAGAGAAATAAGAAAGTTGTTAAATTATTTCAATAGCCTCTAAATTGTTTGTGGAATTAAAATTAATGGGTTTGCATGACACAGATTAGGGAAGTCATACTGGTCTCATAAACATCAGCTCATAAAATTCAACCAGTTGAATCTTTACTGTTTGTAGAACAAGGAAATAACCTGTACATTGCTTTATAGATTTATGTTGAGTAGCTGATTGGGGAGACACAGTAATTGCTCTTGGTGTATGCTACTTATGAGAAAAAACCCTCTATGCAGGAGACAGATTTTTAGGGCTAGTCAGAGAAGACACAAAACCCTAATAGCTTTAACAACATTCATAATCTTTTTGAGCTGCCAAAAAAAAAAAAAGAAGTTGATTTCTTATATTGTGTGAAAACCCTCCCCAAAAATCTGTATTAATAAAGAAAAACAGAACAGCTTACAAAGCAAAACAGTTTTATTACCAGAGCTGTTATGCTTCAGGACATGATAAAAGAAGCAACAACCTGTGACTGACAGCAGTCACACTGCTTAATGTGCTACTGGAAACATCACTGAAATGTGGCTGAATACAAAAATTAACTAAAATTTACTTACACTGATTTTCCCAATGTTGACAGATATTTAGGTCATAGTATTTGCAGCCAAAAAAGTGACTTACTGAAGAACAAACTCAATTAATGCATCAACTCAGGGCACAGCACTTTGTTTTTGCTACAGTCCAGTAGAAATATGGAAATACAGAGAAATATTTTTAAAGATTTTCTGTTTTAAAATACTTAAAACTTCCTCAGAGCTCTGTATTTTTGTGGTTCTATGCTATTCAATCTTCTTGTAATGTCATTCCTTAAATGCAAGCTAAGGACTTATTCTGAAGACTACTAGTTCCTCTCACTCTAAAACATTAATGCTGCTGAGTCATCCTTACTAGATAAACAAATATTTATGCAACATTTAGATTATTTTTTTTTCCTCAGCTGAAGAAAACAGCTTCTGAAGCCAAGCTACCTTGGAATTCAGGAGACAGCTTTTCTAAATGAAGTTTGTCTTTGCTGCAGTAGAATAACCTAAAGCACTTGACTATTACTCATTTAAGGGGACTTTTCTCAATTAGCAGCTGTTTCACTTTTGGTTTCTTTCTCACAGAAAGGATTATGAGTTCTTACCATCCATTTTAAGAGGAACTGTGGAATAGATTGAGAAACTTGGAAGAGGGCACATACAGAAAATATCTACAAAAGGACCGTTCTGCCATTGGATGCATGTCTCATGATTTTACTGGGAACGTGCCCATTACATTCTTTCCCGGCCAACCCATAAGCAAACACACAGAATCTTAAAGAAGAACTGTCTCTTCATAGAATCATTCCTAATTTTAATCTCTTTGTTTCTATTTGATAAGAGACATATTCCTAATAGCACGTAGAAATCTTTAAAAACATTGTTAATTGCGCAGCACATTGCAGCTTGCACTTGAACAACCTTGCACAAAAAGAAGAAATCAACACTGTGTAGTTTTGGATAATGCAGATTTTCTAATTCTAGTACCATCAAAAAATTTAATCATGAACAATATTTAAATACAAAAGAAATTACCTGATTTTCATTTCTTTTCTAGCCATGCTTAACTCTTAGGTTTTGAGGTTCTAAATCTGCAGTCTCAAACAAATCCTTAAATAACCTATTGGACTCCTCAATGGATAAGTTTCAGTATTTGCAGCACAACATTAGTTTTGACTTAATCTGTCCGCACATCTAACACAGACAAGGAATGCAAGTGTACTGTATGACCACATATGCTGCCATACAAAGACATCCTCTGGCTATGACTTTGGTCTCTATATAACATTGAAATACAGAATAGAAAGGAAGGAGACCAGGAATTACAATTTAGAAAGGCTTTTGGGCAATTTACATGAAATGTATAAACTTAGAATTTATTTTATTAAAAATGAGTAAAATGGCAAAACTAATGTATTTTGAAACAAATCCTGAAATTCTACAAAAACTATGAAGGCTTTTTTGATCCATAATTACCATCTGAATACTCAAAAATTTACATTAAATGCTTATTGAAAATGAATATTTTGAGTCAGATTTTTGGACTATGTGGATGCTGTATGCCAGCTTCTAAAGCAACATGAAACTCCTCATCCAGAGTCCAAAAAAATGTAGGGAGACCCTAAAAATGTAGCAGAAGCATTTCCGCACACTGATTTCAGTAGTCAAGTTTGTGCAGAAATGATTCCACTAGATTCATAGGGTACCTTTTTAGGCAACAGAAACTTCTCACTTCGTAAGCTTTTTGACCTCTTCCAGCTCTTCTATCGGTCGCCACTGCTGACTGATTGTCACCAGCTGGAAGAAATGGAAAATATGGAAGTTAGTAAAATCCCAGTGAGCATTTCCTCCACTCCCACACCTCCCCATATCAAACATCAGCTTATTGCTGAAGAAGTTCTAGTGGCTTTACATTTTCCTTTCAGAAATATGCAACAGATGACATAATAATTTGTTGAACAAAATCACTTGGATATTAATTAAGTAATCATGCCAAATAATTTTACTTTTCCTTATCCTAAGTGCTCTTATAAACTAAGATATTTTTCCTTCAGGCTACAGTACTTAAACATTCTTATTCAATTCTGTAATTCAGGAACAAGGTAAGGGTAAACAGCACTTCCTCCATATTCCAAGTTTCCACTGTTATCAATGGAATTGAATAAATGGATGTTTGGGGTGGGAATGGACACAGGACAACAACCAGAAGTATGGTATGAATTTAAGATCAGACCCACAGTGTAAGAGATCCCTACCATTAGCTAAGAGGGTGAAGACAAAGTAATGAATGAAGCATTTGTGTCCACTTTTAACTAGATATACATCAACTTTACACTTGTTCTCCCATTCATATTTTGCTAGTTCTTACACATGAAAGAAGTGATTCATTATGTTGGAAATTTATGGTATTTATACATACATTATATGTACAAATTACCTTCTGAGGCTTGGCAGGATCAATAGTTTCCCATGGTTCTGAACTGCCAATCTTGTGAATGCTTTAAAAGAAGATAAAACAAGTATTATGTTTTAAGGTGTGTCCTTGAACATATTTTCATATGAGCAGCCTATTGTCAGTAGAGCTATTCACTTTAGTAAGGAGTTCCCTAAAGCACAAATTTAGAGGTTTGGGCACTATATTTTAAAATCTGGATAGGAATCAATGACGGGTTGCTTTATTTGCAGCTTCCAAAGCACCAAGCAAGCCAGCACTGCCCACATATCATTGTGAGGGAAGCAAGCTGAAAAATCAAAACTGAGTAAAGACCAAAGTAAGGGGACTTTTACCCCAACAGTTAAAATGCCTACTCTGATCACTAAAATGAATATATAAACCCCCAAAACCTTTAAGAGTATAGGATTGGCTCCATTTATCAGCCAAGCCATTGGAATACTATCAAACACTGCTCTTTATATACAAGTCAATAGCCTGGTTGCAGTATATATGGATCTCATTTACCTATATGATTATATGAAATTCTTGATTAGAACATTTAAAACTTCTTATACCTAAAGCAAAGAAAAAACATAATTATTAAATCAAAAGTTAGGAAATAACTTGGACTACACTCCAAATCAATTAATTTCCTCACTATTTACAATCTGCAGATACTTTAGTCATTATCAGTACTCCCAGTACTCTGGAACATGTGGCTGGTGCCTTTTTTTTTTTTTTTTTTTTGTGTGTGTAAAACATGATGGTCAAATGCTTGGTTCAATAAAACAAGTTAGGGTAAGCTCCAAACAATAACTTTTTCCTTACATCACATCAGATTTGCGGAATAGTGAATAGACACAAAAAGAGAACGCCCCAGCTGCTGCCAAGGACAATATTCCGGCCAGGGGAATGAGCTGAAAAATAAAACAGAGAAAAGAGCTGATCTTATGTCCCAGCTACAGACCCACGAACAGGGGCAGCAAGGGTTACACAGAACTAGGCAGGGATTACCTGTTCCTCTACATTATCTCTATATTACTCGTTACACCACTTAACTTTTATATGCGAAGTTCACTTTTACCTCTACATTATCCTCCTCCACACCTCACTTTTAATACATGAACTTTACGCCGGTCCCATTTCCTCGGGAAATCAAGTGGCAATCCTGGTGCAGCCGCCCGAACCCCCCGCATCCCTCCCCGCGGGCGGGTAACCACGGCCCCGACCCCTGAGGCAAACTCACTTCTCTCTTCGTTTTAAGCGTGTGCAAGATGCCCTTGTTCATGCTGGCGGCTGCGGAGCGGCTCGGGCTCTCGGCTCTCCCCGGCAGGGGCAGGAGGTGCCGGCCGGGCCCGCCCCGCGCTCTTTGAGCCCCGCGCCCTGAGGGGGCGGGACAGCGCGCCCCCCAGCGGCCGGCGCTGCGGGCCCGCGGGCCGGCAGCGCCCCCTGCAGGTGCCACAGAGCGGGACGCGGCCGGCGCCCTTCCCGCGCCAATCCTTCTCTCTCCGGGACTGCAGCGCTCCAGCCTGGCTTCTCCACTTCTCCTTTGTCCTCTTGTCTGCCCCCTTCTCCAGGCAGCTGCTCAAAGAACAGGGTATCTAGGCAAACGCCCAGGTGAGAACAGAGCCTGCCTCTTCAGAGCTCGTCGAGGTGCCTACGGCGACCAAAAGAGGAGCCCGGTGGCACCACGTCCCCTCGTGCTGCAGCAGAAGCTCAACCCAGGCCCAGGTTCTCATCACTCTCTTGTGTTCCACAGCTCCTATCCCTTCCCAATATCCCTCTCAGAGAAAAACTGCCGGGGCAGGCTGGAGGTGAGAGCAGGTGACTCCCGTACATTGGTTTCTCCCCTTCTCTCTTGCCTGCTGGAAAGCAGCGAGAGGAAGGAGAGGCTGCCTGTACTGCACGTTCTGCTCGCTCCCTGCAGCAAGAACAGACGTGACAGGGCACAAGCAGCTCTGCTGGTCCTTCTGGGAAAAAAGTGTGGAAATGAAGCAGCAGCATTTTTGAGGAGCTGGCAGCATCTTACTGTAACAACTTTGAGATCCAGCAATTCCAATGGAAACTCTCAAACACTGGGAAGCCAAACAGAGAGTTTTCTCAGCACTGCTGCTGAGAAACCTTTGTGTGTTTGGGAAGGTCATGAGCACTGTCTGTTTGTTTTATACCAGTAAAGCTACAGGATGGTCCTTTCTATAAACTGGTGATGAAAGCCAAGCTGTAGGCAGTTGTATGTATCTGAACCCTTTCCTAGGTTTCAACAGCTTCTACCACTGCCTTTTGCCTTCCTCAGCCACCAGCTGCCTTGGAACTTCCTTTTGTCATCCATCTCACTATAAACCACACTCAGTGCAGTCCCTAGTGTGCCTGTTATGAGAGAGAAATATTTGTTAATGGGCTTATAATTTCTGAACTTCAGCTAAAATAACTGTCTTTGACAGTGGTGTATTTTGTTCCCAAGCATTTTCACTGGGAAAAAGAGAAGGTAATAAAAATAATAAAAACCTTCCTACTCTAGTAAGTTAAAATGCACACTTACATACATGTAATACCAATTTCCTTAGAAGTGTCCGTGTATTTTAGAAGGCAACCTACAAAAATGCCTGGGTGGGGAAAATAATTCTGCAGAAATTGTCATTATGCAAACTCCCTCCTCTAAAGAAGAAATTATAATTTGAGTTGATTACATACTTGGTATCTGCTTACTCAATCTATATATTTGTACAGTAAACAGTAACTCATCTAAAATTAGTCCCAAAATCCCTGACATCCAAACCAACACCAAGGAGTTAAGCACTGGCAACCCTTTCACTGCCACTGTATTTTGGAATCTGCTTGTAAGAATGTAAGCCTAGACAGGCACATGTAAAACACCTTACATTTTATATAGGGTGGGACTTCTTCCTATTTAATTTCCTGACAGCTTTTCTATTTCTTACATATTTGCTGTCTTTTGGAGATTTCACAACACATCTTACATTTTCTTATTATGCCATTTTTGTACTTAAAAGTAGGAAATCTACAGTAACACTAAGCTGTTCCATGGTGTTTTATCTAAGTATTTCAATTACTTGTTTCATCAGATGTGAACCTACCCAAAGCAAACAAGATTTTAATTTATTATTCATTATTTAAATTACAGAACTTTTCAAAAGTGACACTTTACTGTATTTCCCACTCCCTGAAAACTACAGTAAGTACAGTATTAAAAAGCAGGAAAGATGCAAACCTTTTCAAAATCTCTGTAATATATTTAAAAATACTTATGCCACTCCTTTATAGATTCAAGAGGCTAATTCTTGATTAGAGAATTTTTCATAAAATTCCAAGTCTTTTATGCTTAAAGATGGTTTTACAATCTGCAATGACTTCAAAAAATGTTCCTGTTTTACAGCAGTTGCTTCAAGTCCATTCTCTTGCAATGCCAACAAAGCAGCCTTTAAAAGAAGAAAAAAAAAACCCAACAACTTAGTCCTTATCATGTTTTAAATTGCAAAGAATACTGTAAGTATTCTAAAATATTTTACAAGGAACAAAGCATTAGTTAAAGCATCTGAAAACAGCATTGTGTAACTTATGGTTATTTAACAACAAATAAAGATCCAAGTAAGGTTGCCATAACTTTTTATTTAAATAATGAACCCTTGTTCAGTTCCTCTGTTTTAACCATTTCCTTTGAATTTTCAATGCAAATTGGGAAAGTACTTCTACTACAGATGGCTCAGTATCATCTATGAGTTAGCTCTCTTTTTTCATTCAAAGTTGTTATTTAGAGTTTATTTCACAGATGAGCCAGGAATATTTCTTACCTCCTTGCACAGGTTTTCAATATCAGCTCCAGAGAAGAGGTCTGTTAGGACTGCCACATCTTGTAATGACACATCAGTATCTAATGGAATTTTTTCAGTGCAGATTTTCAAAATGGAAAGTCTTCCCTGTAAATTGGTGCATATTATGGAAGAAAACAAAACCAAACAAACCAAAAATTAATCTTTCTCCAAAGCAGTACGAAACTTGAAATTAGAGCCAAGGAAAATCCAGAAAAGCACCAAAAATACGTGGGTTTGGTGAAAGAATAAAATGCTATTAATGGAGATAATGCACTTCTGGTTGTCTCATATATTTAAGGTCTATTATTCACAGTCACTGCTTGCTTCATGAAAACACAGTATTTTAGGCTGAACAGGCCTGATTTAGCATGCTTTGGGACAACATTTTTTTGTGAAGCTCAGGACAAATAGCTACACTAGCCTTGGGAACAGTACACAAAAATTATTTGAAGCAAGGACAGACAACTTATTTTGATATTTCCTGAACTGTAGCTTGATTTTGTAAATACATATTTTCTCTATTTTCCATATGCAATATTATAACTACCTACACCAGTTAAAATGTTATTGGTGTTTAAATTACAAATATCTTTATTACTTTTAAAATTTTTTCATTGTACCTTGAATTTGGTGACTGATCTCCAGTGAAACAGCCATCACTTGTTAAGTATGTTGCAGGAATATGCCCCCTTTGCTCTTAAAGTATGCTGGCAATTAATATCTCTCCCTTTAAAGCCACATATGGTGTGCAATACCTTCAGATCTGGAGGTGGAATATAAATCATCTTGTCCAGCCTTCCAGGACGGAGCAAGGCATCATCCAACATATCTGGTCTATTTGTTGCAGCAACTACCATGAAATCTTTGTTCAAAGTGTCCTGGAACTCTAGCTGAGTAAGAGATCATGTAAACAAATTAGTGCAACATGGTTGAGATAGATATTATCAAAAGATATTAACTACTAATGAGAAGATGGGAAGGGCAAAAAGATAATGTAATTTTACATGCAATTTTCCCTTCAATATTAGTATTTTATCTTTCTTGAGGTAAAAAAATGCCTTGGTGCAGGACAGATTACATGACAAAGAAGAAATACAGTTAGTATCTTCCTTGGCAATAAAGACCTTCCTTTGACCAGATTGTAATGAAGAACCTTTTATATGCAAAAAATTCAGTATCCTACAATTCTGGAACTGTTTTCTTTATTATTCCCCCAGAGAGTATCATAATAAGAAAAAATTTATATACAAAAAAGCTAAATATTAAATGTTGTGAACAATTCACTGACAAGTGAAGGTACAAGTTTGTGTTTAAATAAGTAACTGATCATAACTGTGGTGTTTTTGTATGCATCATATATGAGAAAGAGCTGCAAACGAAGTAGGAGAAATACTCAGAAAAAGTAAGCTCAGGGAGGAACTTGTTTAAGAGCAAAAATCGCACAATCTAAAAATTTACTTTAGTGTCAAGAAAAGGATTTTTGTGACAGAAGATGAACACTCAGCTAGTAATGCTCATTAGCCAGTGTGGGTATTTTGGTCAAACAAAGCCTCAATGAGGAACAGTGTATGTAAAAACAATCAGCAGCCTATATACAGTATCTTCTAAAAACTTCATAATTAATGGCAGAGTAAAACAGCTTCTTGCATGTTTTTAAGTTCAAGGATTTGAAGATTAAAATGTGAATGCCAACAACTAAAATTTTTGAAACAACTGGACAGCACTTCTCATTGTTCCTATAGAGAAAAGGGAGCATAAATACCTTTCTTTCCTCATCACTTTGCTCTTGGCACTGAGCCTCCAGCTGTAGCTTGCCTCCTCTTCTTTCTGTAACTTTCAGCCCAACCCCATCCAGCTCATTGAGAAGAACAGAAAGAACCCGCTCTGAGACACCATGGCCAGCTCTGCAGAGTGCCCGAGATCCCAAGATAGAATCAATCTCATCTAGGAATATTATTGCTGGAGTATTTGCTCTTGCTTGGCGAAAAACCTATTCAACAAACGTTAATAAAATAAAACATTAATGCCCGCATTCTATCAGGTAAGGTGAAAAAAGAATCCCATTTACATATACCCTGTATTTTATTTAACTTTAAAGGTACATTTTTAATGAGTCGCAAGAGCTGCTCTGGCTTACATTTACTATTGGCAAATTCTGCTTCTTTTTTATATTCCTAAATGAATGGAAAACAAAAGACTAGAAACACTTCTGAAGTTTAACACTGGTATAATTTTAGGGATAGACTCTCACTTTATCTACATGTGAATCTCTAAGCCATTTCTATTTTGCAATCAGATGAGAGCTCTATCATCTTTTCTACAACAAAATTTAGGTCTAACTAATACTTTACAAAAATCAAGCAAAAATAGACCGCAGAACCTTACACAAATTAAAAACTGTACCTGAGACAAAATCTTCTCTGAATCTCCAACATAAGGTGAGAAGAGGTCAGCACCACTTACAGACAGAAAGGAACAGTGACAACTTGTGGCCAATGCCTTCACCAGCGTGGTTTTGGCACACCCGGAGGGCCCATAGAGAAGAATACCCTTGGGATGAGACAGGCCCA